TCACTTTTAAGAAATAAATTAATGTCATCATATTATATTATATTATATTACATAGAGGTCTGTGTATGAGCATGTGTAATAAAGCACACACATGTGCAAAATCTTCACTAAAATATCCAGTCAGGGTAATGTTTAAATCTATATGGATTTTTTTTCTCCCTGAGAGTTTGTTTTTTGAGGAAAAAAACGTTTTCTTCGGAATTGGTTCCAGCGTAATCTCAAAACATTTTCTCTCTCTCTTAAATCCCCTGTGAAACTTCAAGGCGACTATGAGAAGGATCCGTGATGTATCATTATTAAAAAACCAGACAAAAAAGAAACCCAATATACTTCCAGGTAATGGAGATTGCTCGTGCGCAAGGCTCGGTTGTGGGGATTTAAAGGGACGCGCGAGTTACTCACTCATCACCCTCCTTAGAGCGCCGGGCGAGCGAAGACATCAGTCCCCCTTCTGTCTTCCAGACTGTCCAAGACCCCGATTCCTACGATCGCCCCGTGCGGCTGGGCTCCAAGAACGCTGATGGTAAGTTTAGCTGAGCAGGTATTCATTCCCCCTGGAGTCTTTTCATTCCCAGGGCAAAACTTGGGGCGGGCGTGGGGGGGAGGTCCGCTGAGAATGCAAAGAATCTTGGAAAGAGGGGGTCGCGCTGCCCATCTGAAACCAGGTGGCAAGATTTCGCGGCATTTCTAGCCTGACCCTCCCAAACTGCCCCAATATCCGAGCCTCTTAATCACACTCTTACTAGCCTGCAGAATGACGTAATGGTCCAGGAGCCAAGCTCTGACTCCCAAAGATAATGTCAGAGAGGGCGGGGGCGACACAGGGGAGGGGGGTGCAACATAGCGATGCAGCCACCTAACAACCAAATATATACATACTACGAACCCCTGGTGATGTTACTTTAAAAAAAAAAAAGAGGACCATGTGAAGACTGGAGATGGAACGGTGTCGCGGGGAGTGGGGTGACGAAGTGGAAGAAGGAGTGGGCTTTTTCATTTTTTTTTTTTCTTTTTCTTCCAAGCCGGGTTAGCCCAACAACTCTTGGGAGCAAGAGAGAAACTTCTCTCCTCCGTGTCTTCTTTGCCCGAACTCGCGAAACGACGTTTAAAGTTTTCGCGCTGGCGAGAAGTACTAGAAAAGACGCAGGGGGAAAGGCAGCCGCAAGACATTGGGGGGGGGGGGGAGGTAGCGCTGTCATTCCACCAAGAAAGAAAAGTGTTACGAAGCGGACGACAGAAGGAAGGAAGGAAGGAAGGAAGGAAGGAAGGAAGGAAGGAAGGAAGGAGAGAGCGAGCGAGATCGCCAGTCCCCTGCAGAAAGGACTCCGGGCATCCAGGTTGTTATTGTTAACCTGATGTTGTACTTACGGTCCCTGCGAACCAGCGGATATCGCAGCAAAAAATGGTTCAAGCCCGGAAGCGAGGCATTTGAACAAGCTGGTCCTGGAACTGATTTGGTCCACTCTGGACCCTCTTTTTCTGAATGACAGGGAGCGTGCGATCAGATGCCCAAGAAGACCATGTTCCTGAAAGTACAGGGAGCGCGCATCTAGGGCTCAACCACGGAGCGGTCGTAGCTAAGCCGCCCCAAAATTATAAGGATAAGGCTTCTTTAAGTGCAGAAGCCCCCGGAATATTTGAGAGAGGGAGGGTTTTGTATCTCAGTGACAAGGGAAGAGACGCGCGAGCGGAGACGTTCTCCGCTACCCTTCTGGTTAAGTTTCCAAACTTTTGCGCACTAATTTCCATGCTTGGGAGTTACAGGAAAAGAGATCGCAAAAGGTTCCCTCTGAAGCTGTTGCTTCAGCGTCGAAATATCTCGGTGCCCACGCACCACTTTAAGTATGCGCGTCCCAAACATTTTACTCTCCCCCCGCCCCATTCCGATTAATAACAAATAATCAGGGCTACTGCACCGGGCAGAGGGACTGGACACAGATCTGCACTGTTCCCCATCTTCTCGGTTCGAGTCGCTCACTCTCCAGCTAGTGTCATGCGCTGACGGGTCCGGATCGCCTGCCTGAGATAAGACCGCTTCATTCCCCAAGTGAAAGTTAAGTCACTATCAATCACCAATTTGTACAAAATCAAGGAAAATCCCGGACGCAGACGCCACACTAAACATACAGCAATCGCCGTTTACAACGATCTGACTATTTGGTCTCGATCGCACTTTCTCTCGCTTACTCGCCCGCTTCACCTCTAGGGTGGTTTTTTTTTTTTTTTTTTTGCCCTCCTGTCTCTGCGCTGATTGCACACACGCGCTGGGGTAAGGAGAAAAAACACCCGCCACCATCCTCTGCAAGCGAGAACTTTTAAGAGACGCTCCGGAAAGACGAGTTTTCATATGCAATGTAAAGTTGATTGGGAAAACGGAGAAAAAAAGAAGAGAGTTCAATAATTGTAGGGACTTACCCAACAAGTGTAAGAAGGAAAGGGACCAGCAGCCTGAGTGAAGGAACCACGTTGGACTGAGAGAAGGTTACAATGCGTTCTATTTAGAGAAGCATTACATCACCCTTCGTGACGTCACGTGGGATTCCTGAACTTCTAAATCATTGCGGTCCCTGCTCAAGGGAGAGAATCAAGAGAGGGGCGGAGCCGGGAGAGGCGTGTTCCAGGCGGACCCCGCCCCCGCCCACTCCGCTCCAGCCAGCCACAACGCAGGAAGGCGGAGGAGGACTGACTGGGTGAAACCGAAGCGGCGCAAGCAACAGCTTGCTGCACCGAGGATGACAGGACGCTGCCATTAGTTCTGTGAATCAGCCTGGAAAAAATCTGCTTGCTAAGTTTGGGAGAAGGAAGCTGCAGGAAACTGAACCCCCCCACGCCCCCCCCCCCCCCTGTGGATCAGTCCAAGGGCGCGAGGTTGGCACCCCGCTTCACTTCCTAGAGGCAGCAGAAAAAGGTCTTCGTTTTGCACACTGTTCTGAAGTGATTTCTCCAGGTTTCATTTCGATCCAAGGCAGGCTCCAGCTGAGTTCTGAAACACAAAAAAGGGGACCTCTGACCAGGTACAGAGTGCATTTCTCGGCATGCAGCATATCATCTGACAATAAGTAGTGAGCACTGTCCAAATTATTTTCTTTTCAGAAATTAACCATTAAGTAATGTTAGCTTCTGAATTAATGATGGGGATGAGGGTGAAAAGGTTAATTGATAATAAAGTGGTATTTTTTCAAAATGTTCTAGTGCAGTTGGGACTCTGCTCTCTGTGTGTATGGTTTTGGCCACTTAATCCTCCACTATGTTACTACCTTTCAATAGTTGCAAATAGCTTGTTGATCTCTTTAAAATGTTTTTAAAAAATAACAGCAATGTAGTGCTTTAATTAGGATATGGAACCTGCAGCCCTCAGAATAACAAAATAAATAAATAATGCATTTATGTAAAATTCAACTTGCGACAAGTTCAAGCAACCAGGCACATAAAAAGTTTGCAAACTTGGCTAAACAGATCTTAAAGTAGCACAGGTGCACACATGCGTGCACACAAACATCAGCATCAAATTAGGGCTAAAAATCATTCAAATTTTGTTGTTGTTCAAGTCTTTGCCTGTTTTGAGAAAGACAATGACATGGAGAGCTTCTCTGGGGAAAATATTCCATGCCTGGGCATCAGCAGAGAGAAGGTTATGCCCTAAAGTTTCTTTGGCTGGCTTTCCTTGGTGCCACCTGAAGTCAGGACAAGCCTCATTCAACACTTGGGCAGTTATTTTCCTGGAAGTCTGTCCCGCTGAGTTCAGTGGGAGTCACTTCTGAATAAAACTACTTAGAGTTGCTCAATAGAACCCCAGTGAAACAACTAGAATTAATGTAATGGATAAAAGTCGCCTCAGGTTAATTTGGGTTTGTTTTTTAAAGCTGAGCAAAATGCAGTAGTTTTGCCTGTCACCTAGAACTCCACAACATAAACGTTCCTTGTACTGCCTGCCTAAGATGTTTTTAGGCCTGGCAAGCCAAATTGCCTCTTTCTCATATACAAACTATCAGAACAAACACTTCTGGCACCCGTACCTCTCTTGTCTACACTGCAACCCCACAGGCCATGGTGTCAGGTCACTTTCCCCACCAGAAGTCAGGCCTAAGCTTCTTCCCTGGCTTAAAAGTTCTGTACGTGAAGGCCCAACACCAAGAAGGCCATGCCCTGACTATCACCCACCACATTTCATGGCCATGCTGAACAAGCAAAAGATATGGGGGAAGGTGCCTTGCAGGTATTCTGCCCCATAACATGACAGACAAAGACCAGTGCTTTAATTTTTGTTGCAGGCAGTGGTTTTGAAAACCAGTGCATCTTCTTAAGGACTTGTGTCTCCAGATTGGTAGCAGAGGAGCAGTGTAACAGATAAGGAAGTTTCTCCCTTCTTCCTGTGCAGGTCTATAGTAACTTTATTTCATGCACAAGGAAAACTAACCAGTTCCTTAAATGGGCATTTCCTTTTTTTTTTTCTTTATAAGATTTCTGAGATTCTCTGGTATACACATTGTGTGTTTCCAGTGGCAGCAAATCTCTGTATAAACAGAGGCTGATAAGTTTAAATTGCTGACAGAATTCAGTGCATTATTTATATAGCAGAACAAACAAAAGCTGTAATGGCAATGCTAGGTATCAGCACTGGTTTGATAGAACCGCTCTTTGTGGCTATTTTTATTCAACTCAGATAAAGGCATTTCACTGCAAACTTCTGTACAGTAATATCACATCTAGCCCATACATGAACTGATATCCAGTGAATTCTGTCGTTCTTCAAATGTTACTTATTTCTCCAATCAAAAATGTCTACTGTACAATCAATGGCAATAAAGTACAACAACGGAAACAATACATTTTCCCCTGCGGCTTTGATGGAAAATCTTGCAGGGAAAAACTTTATGTGCACATAGATATTTGGGTAAATTTGTTTAAAAAAGGGCAGGATAATTCCTACAAACGTAAAAAAAAAGATTCTCAAGCTAAAGTGAAAGAGGAATGAATTGCACTGAAAACTGAAAGACATCCTGCAAAGAGTTCCGGCATATAATGAAATGGATAGTGATCCATAAAGGTCATGATATAATAAACTTAGGGTTCTGTAAAGCCTCAGAAGGATGCTTCACTTTAACAGTGCTTCAGAGCTGCTTTGCAATGCTGTGCAGGCCCATGAAGCAAAGTTGCCACTGTAATTGCTTTGCTTTGCTCCAACCGACTACATTCAGTAAGCAAAAGAGGCTTTTGTGCATGTGATGTGCAAGTGCAGAAATCTCTTTTGGTGGTTTCAAGGAGCTACTAAATTTGTCAAAGGAGGCAACAGGAGTGTTGTAGGGCACCTCAGTGAGACAGATACTGTCACTTTTGCACCTCATCAAGGTAAATTAAGGCTGTGTCGGGCAGCTGTTGATCTTTACATTTCCACAAGGCAGAGTATTGGGAAAAGTTTCACATATACAGGTAGTCCTTGACTTACAACCATTCATTCAGTTACCATTCAAAGTTACAATGGTGCTGAACAAATGGTGGTTACAACTGGTCCTTGGAGATACGGCTGTCTTAGCACTCCCAAGGTCACATGATCACGATCTGGGTGCTTTGCAATCCATTTGCACTTTTGGCCAATTGCCAAGCACCCTATGATTGCCATTTGCAACCTTCCCTGCAGGCTTCCCCAGAAAGTCAGTGGGGAAGCTGGCAGGGAAGGTCACAATTTGCTGGTGCAAGTCTCCCTGACCCGCATACCCTCCCCAGTCCCTCTGTCTTTGTGCTGGCCAGTCACACCCCCTGTGCACCTTCCCTGACCCACACCGCATCCCCCTGCACCCTCCCTGACCTGTGCAGTGCTGTGCACCCTCCCTGACCCACACAGCACATCTCATGCATCCCCACACACCTCCCTTACCCACACAGCACCTCTCGTGCACCACCACGCACCCTCCCTGATCCACGTAGCACCTCTTGCACACACCCTTGCATAGCCTCCCTGACCCTCCCCAACACCCCTGTGCACCCCCATACTTCCTTCCCCACCTGGCAGCAGCCACTTACCTGCCTGGCAGCCTGGGACTTGCAACTTCCTGCCGACTTCCCCACTGACTTTGGTTGTGGGAAGCCAGCAGGAAGAGGGATTGCAGGGATTGCTGTTGCTAAGCGATGCGGTCACACTTAATGACTGCATCGCTTAGTGACAGAAATTCTGGTCCCAATTGTCATTGTAAGTCAAGGACTACCTATACAGGTATTCCTACCTATACATTTAGCAGCCACATTTGGAATTGGCAACTTAGTCATTAAGTAAAGTGGTTACTAAGTGAAACTGCAACTGTGCTTACAATCTTACTTCAGCTTTTATTTTCTTTACATACTTGCGAAGGACGTAAATGTGAGGATTGGCCATAAAATTACTTTTTCATCACTGCTGTAACTGTGAATGGTCGCTAAATTAGGCAGTGGCTAAACGAGGACCACCTATAGTGCTAAAGTGCCCTTTATACAATAAATGGAGGAACAGAACTAATAACACCAATAGTTAGAAATTTAAATTGCTCCTCTGAGCAGGAGGTTATTATTTTTCTCCTAGGTGACCAAACTTCAGCTATTTCCAATAAAGTTACTAAATTTTTAACAGTAGCCACAGCTTGCAGGAATCATCTTGTGCCTCCCTTATACTATTAATTGCTTCAGGCTTTTCTGTATAACTTCTATTTTATTATTATTATTTATTTTTTAACATCATTTTATATTTGATGTGTTGTAATATCACCTTCTTTTAAATATTGGTCTTGGACCTTAAATAAATAAAATTTCCACAAGAATGTTCCATCCAAACCCATAATGAGAAGAGACACTTTATCACCAGAGTTACAGACTACTCTGTAATTGTGCTATTGCTACAAAAACTACACACTAAAACTGAAAGTTCCCAAAACCTTAGTTCCTCACCATGTCCTGATAAATAGATTATGATTATCTTATGCCAGATATGACCAAAGCAAGATTGAAGGGTATGCCTGCCTATATGTTGGGTTATTTGACCCCTTGTCCTTTCATTTCAATAGATTACAGTTGCAGAATTTATTTGAAATCACAAATCCCAGTCCTAAAGTCATGGTAGGATTTAAGGGAAAAGTGCAGGACCCCCTCAAGAGAACTAACAGGAAAACTACCTTCCACCCAAACAAAGCAAGTCTGGCTTATCATATTTTGAGGTAAATGAATAAAACACATTACTATCTAAATCTCCTTGACAAAATGCAGTTTACATCAGAATGTAAAGTATCATGGATGTGTCCTGTTCTTGGTCAAAAGTAACATGCTTTTTGAACAGCAAAGTATCCCATTTTAAAAAAAAATTGAATTAGACAGATGGAAGGTTTTTATTGCAATTTGGTATCAGTGAATGTAGAGAACTTCAGTGTGCCAGCAAATTGATGATGAAAAGAAAAGATATTGCAATAATCAACATTAGACAATTAAAAGATTTTTATTAGAGATTCAGTTTAA